ACTCAACTCAACTTTATTTATAGAGCACTTTAACACAGCCAAAGCCAAACAAAGTGCTTAACATAAGATTCGATTTAAAACATATAACATGTGAACAACTACATTAATAAGAATAAAACAATAAAATAAAATAAATGAACCAAGATAGCAAAATAACAAAATACTATCCAAAACCAAAACTCAGCAAACAGAGTCTCATGCCATATCAAACGCCAAGGCATACAAATGGGTCTTCAAGTAAGTTTTAAAAATGGCCAACGAGGGGGTCTGCTTAATGTAATTAGGCAGCGCATTCCATAGCTTAGGAGCCACAACGGAAAACGCTCTGTCCCCTCTAAGTTTACGCCTAGCCCTTGGTACCCCCAGCAGGAGCTGGTCAGCTGATCTGAGGCACTGAGAGGAACTATAAGGAAATAAAAGTTCAAGAAGGTACGCAAGAAGGTACAGTGGTTCAAGACCATTTAAAGACTTAAAAACAAATAAAAGAATCTTAAAATGAATCCTAAAGGACACTGGGAGCCAGTGAAGGGATGCCAAAATAGGGGTTATATGCTCCCTTTTACGCACTCCAACCAATAGATGGGCAGCTGCATCCTGAACCAATTGGAGATGAGCAAGTGACAACTGGCTGACTCCAACATACAGTGCGTTACAGTAATCCAAACGTGATGTAATAAATACATGGATTACTATCTCAAAATGCTGGCGTGCTAGAAGAGGCTTTACCTTCGCTATCTGCCTAAGGTGGAAAAAACTAGACTTCACAACCGCATTAATTTGGCGATCAAATTTCAAACCAGAATAAATTTTTTACGCCCAAATTCAAGATAGTCTGTTTCTCATACTGCGCCAGGTGACCTAAGTCAACTGAAGGTGGGTCACCACCAGACTTATTTGGGCCAAACATTGTAACTTCAGTCTTTGTCTCATTAAGTTTTAACAAACTTAGGGTCATCCAGTCCTTGACGTCATCAAGACACGCCAATAATGGTTTAATTGAAAAGTTATCCTTCCTCTTTAGCGGCATATAAATCTGAATATCATCAGCATAGCAATGAAAAAGGGCACCATGCTTTCTCAGGATGGAACCAAGAGGTAGTAGATAAAGTGAGAACAGCAAAGGCCCCAGAATTGATCACCTGCCAGACAAGTAAGACCTAAACCATTCCAGGGCAGTGCCCCTAATGCCCACCATATCTTTAAGCTGGGATATTAAAATACGGTGATCAACCGTATCAAAGGCCGCAGTCAGATCCAGCAGGACAAGGATCACATAATCATCTGCATCAGTTGCCAAAAATATATCATTGAAAACCTTTAATAAGGCCGACTCTGTACTATGTAAACTTTTAAAACCAGATTGGAAGACCTCCAGGACATTGTGCTGATCTAAAAAGGACTCTTTCTAATATTTTAGAAATAAAGGGGGGCTTAGAGATTGGCCTAAAATTAGCTAATACCGAAAGGTCCAAACCTGGTTTCTTAAGTAGAGGTTGCACTACTGCATGTTTACAACATGCAGGGACAACACCAGAAGACAAACTACTATTAATAATAGCCAGGACCAGCTTACCTATACAAGGAAAGACATCTTTAAAAAATTGCGGGGGAATAGCATCCTGCGGAGAGCCAGATGATTTTATCTGACTAATTATTTCCTCCAAAAAGGCTGAAGTCACAGGCTCAAATACATCAAAAACAGCCACACAAGGGACAAATTCCAAGGGGTCAGAGGCAGGGCCTGTACCCAAAGCCATCGCAACAGCAACCTTCTCGATAAAAAACTGTAAGAAGTTATCACACAGCTCAACAGAGGCTTCCAGGCAGACAGGCTGTGAAAAAATTTGCACAGACCCAATTGTATTAAATAACACATGTGGATTATGACTGTTTGATACAACAATATCAGACAGATATTCTCTCTTAGCTTCTTTAACAGTCTTCTGATAATTGTGCCAGCAGTCCTTTAAGATCTGAAAAGAAACCTGCAGTCTGTCCTTCTTCCACCTCCATTCAGCTTTACGGCATGCTTGCCTAGCCACACGAGTTTTGGTGCCAAACCATGGTTCAGGCTTAGCTTTAGGCTGCCAAACCTTCAATGGGGCCACAGAATCCAGAATAGAGCAACAAGAGGAGTGAAACCAGGGACTAAGCTCCTCAATATCACCAACATTTAAGAATTTTAAGAAGAATTTTAAGAAAAGAAGGCACAGCAGAATAAAGTGTGTAATTTTACAAATTCTGACTACTTTGCTATTTTATTAACAACATTTCAATACTTAAGTATTAACATTTTCAGAAAGCTACTTTTGATACTTAAGTATGGTTAATATCAGATACTTAGACACATTTACTCAAGTAGAATTTTAATGGGTGACTAACTTTTACTTGAGTTTTTAAACATTTCAATAATTTTCTCACACCTACGCTGGTGGTTCTTGGCCAATCATTGCTCCTAAAGGGCTCAGCCTTTTCTAGATGCCACTTTTGTACCAAATCATGATGCAGTCACCTGTTGACATCACCCGTTTCAAATGGAATTATCATTTCATTGTTTTACCTCATTACTGGCCCTGAAATGCAAGCGACTAAACTTTTGGAATGTGTTGCAGCAAGAGAACTGAAGTGAGTGTTTATTGTAAACAAAGAATAAAATTAAGTATCATATCAAATAATGTGCTGCTGTATTGTTTTCAATGTAAAATAGGACACATATGATTTACAAATCACTATTTTCTGTTATAATTGTTACATACTGTCCCAACTATTTTTGATTTGGGGTTGTATATTTTGTGTACTTTTACTTAAGTAACATTTTCAGTTCAGAACTTTTCCTTGTAACAAACCATTTTTACACTCTGGTACTGCTACTTTTATTTAAAGGGCCCATGGTGCTTTACCTTGTTTTCTGACTTATCTACAATGTTACAATGGTGAATTATCATCTTAGACGTGACCTAAAGCTCAAACAATGAGGTGTACGTATGTTCTAGTATTTCCACTTAGTTTATACACGTCTCACAAGCTCTCATCGCAAATTGCAAAACTTTTTTTTCGAACAAAATTAAGTATTACGTGATAGTTTAAGGATCCCGTTGAATACTCATAATCTCCAGGCAGTTGCGCGTTCATGTGAACTTGCCTGACATCCACCGGTGCCACTGTAAAAGTGGAATTTTTCTACTACTTGCTGTATTGTGGATAAATTTTCCCTCCTGTTGCTGCACTGTGACCAGAGGATGTGGAGAAAAACACAGGGGCTGAGGTTATTGCATGTCTGGGAATGTTCCTGTACAAGGACTCGTTGTTTTACCTGACCGGGTCTAACCTACAAGCAGACGGCCTGTGAAGCCCCCTGCAGTGGTGAATGATCAGCTTCATCAACACTGGATTTCTCTGGAGCACAGTACCCGTTTGTTCTGACTGCTTGAGGCCAGTGTGTCTGCTGCATGTGATGTGTTGCTGGTTAACCAGTGGATTAACCAACAACTCATGATGTTATTGTCAGAACTACCCTACCTGTTGGAATTAATTTCACTACTTTGGGACTGTATGTGGTCAAGTGGGGGAAGATGCAGTGACCACCGGTTGGATTTACCGACCTTGGAGCTACTTGAAAGGGAGTGATGTTTCCACTACTCGGTGGGACTTAACTGTAAGTTTAAAAAACACAGGAAGAGGCTCTCTGGTTTAATCATTATGAAATAATTACAGACTATTTGGAGTTATGGGGGGGTGCAAAGCTAATCTAGAGGTACCAAAGTTTAAACATTAAATGGCTGGAAACGAGCAAAATGAGCAGGCATGGGGACTTTAAGTAAAGGATCTAAGAACTTCTTCCACCACTGTTGAAGAGTGCCTTTAAATCTATTTTTCACCCTCAAACATAAATTATAACTAATTTTCTTTAAGAACCAACAAATAAAAAACAAAAATCAGCACCACATTTACATTACATTTTGAACAAATATAATACAACTAACACTTGGAGGGGAAAAATAATTGCATGCCAGAATTAGGCTAATATTACCTAGAGGAGAGTCTTCAGTGTGTAAGTAAATAAGTGATTTGCTGCAATTTTTTGTATTCACCTTCAGATCACGGTAAACGACATCTCGTGAATGCAGGTACTCAAGTGCTGACACAATCTCAGCGCCGTAGAAGCGTGCCCGGTCTTCTGTGAACACTCGTTCGCGTGACAGGTGGAAGAAGAGCTGAAACAGATGGAGTCAAACACTTAGCCATTAGAGAAACTGGTCTTCACACACGCTAAAACACATGGTCCCGGACACTGTAGATCCCCTCCAGTTTGCCTACTGCCCCAATAGATCAGTGAACGATGCGACGGCTCTGGCTTTATTCCACACCCTGAAACACCTGGACAACAGCAGTACATATGCTAGGATGCTCTTCCTGGATTACAGTTCTGCATTCAACACCATTCGCCCGGGCAAGCTGATTGAGAAGATGACAGACCTCGGTGTCCCAACTCCCACCTGTAACTGGATTCTGGACTTTCTGACTGAAAGACCACAGGTGGTCAGAATGGGAGGGTGGGTGTCTGCTTGAGCTCACAATCAAAACAGGCTCATCGCAGGGTTGCTGTCTCAGCCCCAAACTCTTCACCCTGTACACCCACAACTGTGTCTCCAACCATGACAACACCATCATCATTAAATATGCTGATGACACCACCATTCTGGGCCTCATCAAGGGGGGAGACGAGTCGGGCTACAGAAGCTTGGTGAACGACATTCTTGTCTAAATAAACTAAATTAATGGGTAATAAGAACCCCTCCCCTCTGCTGCTCTGACCATCAAAGGGACTGAGGTGGAGAGAGCTGACAGCCAGAGGTTCCTGGGCCTGCAGGTGACCTGACCTGAGCTGAGCTGGACACGGAACACAGCTTCGACAGTGAAGAAAGCCCAGCAGCGGCTATACTTCATCAGGTGGCTCAGGAAAGCTGATTTGAACAGTCGCCCTCTCACCCAGGCTTATAGAGGACTGGAAGAGAGCATCATAGTCTCGTATGGTAACACCACACAGGCAGAGAGGAAGGCTCTTCAAAGGGTCATAAAGACTGCAGAGAGGATTACTGGGACTGAACTGCCTGCTATGAACACACTGTACACACAGTGCTGTTGTCTGTATAGGTGGCGACTGTGATTCGGTGGGTATAGCAGTCGACTCCCAACCGGAAGGTTGGAAGTTCGAATCTCGGTGCCTGCAGTCCATGTATCGAAGTGTCCTTGGGCAAGACACTGAACCCCCAAGGTGCCCCCGATGGTTAGAGCCATCGGTTGAGTTGGCGCCGCAGATGGCTGCCTCGGTTCTGTACTGGAAACAAATTCCTTGTGTGTAACATACTTGGCCAATAAAGGTGAATATCCTTATAAAAGCGCAGAGAACATAATCAGGGATCCACGCCAACCAGCTCACACTTTGCTCAGACACAAAAACTGCACCTACAGCCTCAGGCACAGCAGGGCGGACAGTATCATTACACACAGGACTAGACTTTACAACAGCTTTTTATTGCCGCAGTAAGAATGATGGCAAATACGAAAGTGTGAGAAATGTGCAATAACCCCTTACTAGACATGCACAATAATAATACAGAAATGTTCCACAAGGTATTTTTGTAAGAGCATCTCATGAACAGTGTTCTCCTGTGGGACCTGAATAATAGCAGGACATTCTCTACCAAGCAATGGAAACAGGCCTGAATATAAACTCACCAAGCGTAATGACATATCCAACTCCACTATGTGAATTACTAAGTGCGATGTTTGAAGTTCACTGGGGAAAATACTATTACCCTATTTTTGTGTATTGGGGTTTTAATGCTTTGTTGCCTTTATGTAACTTTTTATTTTAAGACCAAGTGTTCTTTCTGGCTTTTGACTCCTTACCTGAAAGGAGAGCTGCACAAGAATTCCTAAATACTTAGACTGTCTGTTTATGCATAAATGGCAAATAAAAATCTTGAATCTTGAGAATACATGTTTCACTGTGCATGATAAGATGTTGACACCAAGTAACTGTGATGTGTGTATGGGGGGGTCTCACCTCGCCTCCATTAGCGTATTCCATTACAAAACAGAGCCGATCATGGGTTTGAAAGGCATATTTCAGGGTCTGCAAGAAGAAAAGGATCACATTAGGAAAAAAAGCAGGGGCAAATATCTTAAGAGAAATACACTAACCCAGTGTGACTCTTTGCAATCTGCTAGTGTGGCTAAAAGACACTGTGTGCACTAAGTGCTTGGTGAAATTATGCAGTACAGGCTCAGCACAGTCTTCAGATTGGTCTGGTCAGAAGACCATGTGGCATATATTAAAAAAAACATCATTAATGAGTACGGGCTAGTTGTTGCGAGTCCATGCTGCACAAAAATTTTTAAAAACTATGGGTCACTGAGAAATGTAAATGTTCTCACCGTGAGGAAGGGGTGTTTTGTGTTTTGTAACACTCTGCTCTCTGTAACTGTGTGGGCCACCTCATCCTGCCAACAAACACATTATTCTCAGGAACAAAATAAATATACAATATACATATAATGTATAGAAGGAAGAGGCATCAAGATGGTAACATTATGATTTGACATGATCTTTGTTTTAATCTGAAAAGACCCAAGCATCCAAATATTTCACCAGGCTGAGATGCAAGAATGTAGCTGATACTGTATATACAGTAATCTCTCACCTTATTTTGCCAGCATCACTACCACAAGACCACCAGGGAAGCACTTAAAATCATCAGCCTCCAAATTTTAACACCCTAGGAGTTGTTACTGGTATCAACATCTCTGAGCAAGGTGGAACAGCCAGACATGTCATGCGTTTAAGCTTCAAGGTTTTTATCGTCAATTCACCATAAGTGCAGGACATACAAAAAAATCGAAATACCATTTCTCTCTCACCTAGTATTGGGTGCCATTTAGGAACTAAAATAGAATAAAGTAGAATAAAAATTTATTTAAAAATTATTTGTGGGATGATCGATGTCTCCAGTATAATTTTACAGTCATGGCCAAAAATATTGGCATCCCTGTATTTCTGTCATATAACAAACCACTTCTCCCAGAAATTTGTTGCAATCACAGATTCTTTGATATTCTCATGCTGATTTATTTTGTTTGCATTTGAACAACACAGCACTGATTGTGGTAACTGCTGTTGGGTAAAAACTAATCTTGAATCTAGAGGTCGTTGATTTGATTACTCTGAAACGTCTACCTGATGGCAGCAGTTCAGAGAGTGAATGTCCTGGGTGTGAAGTGTCCCTAATGATGAAGGTGCTTTTAGCCATGATGCTACCCAGAGCTGGAACCAGCTCCCATTAGAGCTTAGATCTTCCCCAATGTAGCCACTTTTAAAACTAATGACTGCTCATTTTTCCACTGCTTTTAATGAATGTATCTTGAACTTTGTCTGCTTTTTATTTTTGTTCCATTACCCAACGACAAATTGACTTCATTCTGCAGTTTAGTTGACTATAAAAACACTTTTTCAAGAAGAAAGTATATCCGCCTTTGGTGTAAATTATTCAAAAGGTTAGTTTTGGGAAGACTAAAGTAAAGGGGTACAAAGAACACTGAGAACAGTGAGAATCCACAGTTTGCTACAGCTATCCTAAATGTTTCTCGAACTGTTTTGCTGACTGTAAAGACACCAATGTTTCAAATTTCCAGAAGAAAGTATGCCTGCACCTAGAGGTAAAGTACTCAGGTTAGTCTTAAGAATTGGGGTGTAAATCGCCACTCTCATCACAATAGGATTCAATATTGATTCTCGTTGCCAGCGATCTGATGTTTGCTGATACTTAAAAGTTCCACTCCAGAGACATTTTAATATTTATATTTGCATATGAAAATACTCTGCTATAAACAATACATAGTCTAGCAGTTTTTTTCTCTGAAAGGTTTAGTGAAATTGTGTAACTGGCATCCACATTTGCCACTCATTGTGCATTCCCGGACATATGCATATTCTAATATATTCAAAAAATGTCCACAGCCCCCCCACAATACTATAACATTTGTTAGCCAAACATAGCATTTTAATTTGCTGTTGATACTCCAGCTTGTCTACTACCATCCCATAAGGTCTGAGAGTGTATCAGTATCTTTTTATTTTCTCGCATGATCCGAAAAATAACAGAGAACAGAGCTTGCCTTGCTGTTACCAACAGCTAAACATAACGATTATTACATTCCAACTAAAGAAATGCATTTCCTGTCGAAAGTGCATGTGAAAGCTATGTGCTGAAGGATTGCCCTGAAAATGCTGAACATTTTGACACCTGAAAGGCATATCTACCTGAAAGTATACCGAAGTACAATTTTCCCATTCATTTGAAAGGGGGGAGATTTTCAAAATAAAGCTAAATATTTCAGAAGTGTGAGGTATATAAAAATTGAGCCGAAGCATGAATGTCCTGGGAGACTTGAACATTTTGATACCTGAAATACCTGAAAGTATGCAGAAGTAAAAATTTCCCCATTCATTTGAATGGGGCAAGATTTTCAAAATAAAGCTAAATATTTAAAATGTATGAAGCTTAGAAAACCTCTAAATAGTAGTATGAATGTCCTTGAAGAGCTGAACATTTTGATAGCTGAAAGTATGCAGAAATAAAAATGTCCCCATTCATTTGAATGGGGCAAGATTTTCAAAATAAAGCTAAATATTTAAAATGTATGAAGTTTAGAAAACTTCGGAATAGTAGTATGAATGTCCTTGAAGAGCTGAACATTCTGATAGCTGAAATAGCTGAAAGTTTGCTGAAGTAGAATTTTCCCATTCATTTGAATGGGGCAAGATTTTCAAAATAAAGATAAATATTTAAAATGTATGAAGCTTAGAAAACCTCTAAATAGTAGTATGAATGTCCTTGAAGAGCTGAACATTTTGATAGCTTAAAGTATGCAGAAGTAAAAAATGTCCCATTCTTTTGAATGGGGCAAGATTTAAAAAAAAAAAAAAAGCTAAATATTTCAAAAATATGAAGTTTTGAAAAATTCTGAAGAGATGCATGAATATCCCTGTAGAGCTAAATATTTTGACAGCTGAAATTATGCTGTAGTAGAGTTTTCCCATTCATTTGAATGGAGCAGGATTTTCAAAATAAAGCTAAATATTTCAAATGTATGAAGTTTAGAAAACTTCTGAAGAAAAGCATGAATGTCCTTGAAGAGCTGA